CCTAAGCCTGCAGCCACACATCAGTTCCGGGTGGCCAAAAAAAACACGTTCCGGCAGGTCACTCATGCCGAAGTTTGAAACGGATGGCGGCCCGTGACGTGTGGAGGGCCTGAGTTCAGAAACGACAAGTAAAAACTGGCTATTTTAAACTATTTTGCTATTTTTGCTTATTTGGAACTGCTGCTGCGACAAAACTGCATCTAGTGTTTTTTTTGCCTAGCCAAAACTCGAAACCATGACGGAGACGTAGTTGTTTCTTTTTCTTTTTTCTTTTAAAGGTACCTCCTGCTGATGATTGCAATCCCCCAAAAACATCATCGGTACAAGAGATGTCCCGGATGCCATCGTTTTTCCGATCGACAAAGTCAAAAGATTTCCAAACCATAGGAGCGTTGCTCTTCTTCCACCTTCCGTTCTCGTTCAGCATCTCAGAATGATTCCCAGGATGATTCCCCAGTAGGTTCAAGATTCCCAGGATGATTCCCAGTAGTCCCAAGATTCCCAGGATGATTCCCAACAGTTGCGCCGACTGCAACAAACAGGCAAACATTTTCGAGTTGAAGAAGAAGAAGAAGAAAGAAGACGAAGAAGATCAAAGCAAGGTACTTCGCCACATAGCCTGCACGGGCTTTTCATTTTGATGAAATTTCAAATTTCATCAAACAGGCCCTGCAGTAAGACACACCAGACAGGGAGGAGTCACAAGCTTTTCATTTTGATGAAATTTCAAATTTCACCCGACCTGATGAAACAGGGGCATTCCATTGCACGGTGTGTGAGGCTGTGAGCATGGATATCTAATTGCAGGCTCAATAAGATACCACTGACAGGAGGAGAGAGAAGGTGGAGGAGGAGGGGGAGGAGAGAGGAGGGAGGAGGATGAGGAGACAAGATGCTGCCCGCCTCTACAGCCGCAACAGATAGGTAGGCAAATCCTCCAGTTAAATTGGCTCTTGCGACTTGTCCCATCCCTGGGCCAGAATTATGCAAGGGCTTCTTGTCAGCCAAGGCCCAACTTACTTCCTTTCTTTGTTTCTTCCCGTCGTTTGAGAGGAGAGGAGAGGAGAGG